AGAATAGGTTCTAAGCACTGAAATTAACATTTGGGGAAATCATTTGGTACTCAAGCTAAAAACATTCATTTTAGCATCCAATTGGTTAGTTTTTAAACATTATACAATTTAAACAGCTTTTGAAGTTGTTTGTGCTGAAGTGTAAGAATATCACAATTAAAAACAAATATTAAAGTGGCTAGTAAATAAAATACTGCATTTGTTATCCACTGAAGACAAATTCCCCTTCTACAAAGGAACAATATTTATGCAAAGTGAGAATTATCTGATGAGATTAAGGAGGAAAAAAAACAGTTTCCAAACTAAATTAGAACTCTTGACAAATGAAAACTGTACGCAATTTATATAGAGACCTTTGAGCTACAAAAGCAGACTTTTGTGAGAACCAACATACAGAGCCTTACATAGTATAAAAAAGGATTTAAGGGTATTACAGATAACACTAATTGCCAAAGTAAATCCTTAGACATCACTGGGAAAAGCTCTTCCACTGAGCAAGCAGATTCCTAATTAGGTAAATTCAATATTACCTTTTGCAGAAGCAGAATGAATCAACCTTTCAAAGAGCTAAAACAGCTTCAATTAGCAAATATTGATGTTTGGCTTATATTTTTGTCAGATAATAAAATTGAGAAACTCTGATTAGTAATTAAATCAAATACAATTAGTAAAGTATATTAAAAATTGTAACCAAACTCTTCTCAAAGAGTTCTTTTCAAAATAAGTCAAACATATTGAAAATTCAAGTTTAAGAGAGTTAATAAATAATTAAAGATATGCAAAGTAACCTTAATGAATGGAGATAGCCTCATGTAAGATTCTTGGCATGAACATTTCCATTTTGCTAACTATTACACTTACCATTTAGGTCCTTCTTTTAAACTGAACAGTGAAAAGGATAGGATATAAGTGAACGAAGCTTATATTTTCAAAGCTTTTAAGAAACAAAAACAAGCATTAGAAACAATAACTAATTTCATACACAAAAGTCACAGTAGAGTGTATGATCTTTTAAGGATTAATAATGAACATGCCACAATTAGTGTTTGCTGACAAAGATTTGACAAAGTGAAAACCATCCATGAATATATTAATATGTTGTAGAAATTACCATTTCAGCCAAGACAATCAAAGTTTGAGGCTTCAAATACAAAAGTAAACATTCTCAATATTGATAAAATTGTAATCTAATGCTAAGAAAAAATTAGTAGTTCAAGTCTGCTTACACTACACAATCTGAGGTAGAAACTGACCACAATTTGATCATAGAAAAAAGTCCCATGAATTAGTCTTATAGTAAAAATGTATTATACACCACTTCATAGTAACTTAAAATTAGTTATTTATCTTCCTGGTTTATTCCAAAACCAGGTATTTTAAAGACAGAAGCTCTTGTTCACACATTAAAATGACAGTCACTTATAGTTATCTATAGATGTGCTGTAATGTACATATATGAAGCTGGTTTCATGTTACATTAAAAATTAAAAGTTGTGCAAAAATAGTATGGATTCCCTGTTAGAAATCACTGCTAAAGGAAAAGTTCCACAATCATGTAAATTACTGGATTTTAGTTTTTTCACAGTTTTAAAAAAGAAAGCCAACTTATCACTACAATACTAAAATCACTAAAACTGGCTGAAAACCATGAAATAGTTAAATAGTAGTGTTTGGAATATGCCATTTCAAGTTCATATGACATATCCCAATTCAAAATAAATTTGTGTGTAACCATTTTCAGTCTAACATCAGTTTTAGTAGCATCATAATTCTATGATTATTACAAAAATTACATACAAATTTCCTGCAGCAGCACTGTTTCAGGTGATTACAAAGTACTCAAAGTGGAACTCAATGGAATAGTCATACAAATTTATCCAAAAAGAGTTTACAATTACACCACTGCTTTACTCCCCCCAAAAGATACCCTGACCACTTCAATGTGTGAAACAGCATAAATTAACAACAGAGTTAAAATTCTTCCCAACTGAACCATCCCTTTCTTCCCTTCTCATGCTATAGTTTTGCAACTATTCAGGACATCAGCTTTAGCAGTGGGTCAAACTTCAGTGAAATAACATCTGATGTTCACATCCATATAGCCTTAAAAGATATTCATAGGTAAGACACAGGCGATATGTCACAGGTTATATGCTATAAACCAGGGGTGGGGAACTTAAGATTCTCTGGATCTGGCCCCCGAGGCGTGGGGCTCCCCCCGCATTGGGAGCCTGCACAGGTGGCTCCTGCTCCACCACTGTCCCCCTTGGGGTTGGAACACTCAAAATCTACTAGCCTTGGCACTACTAGGCTCTTGCTGTGTGAGGGGAACATGGAGAGTGTCTTTCTCCTTCTTAGTAAGAGGCCATGTCTGTGATGGGCTAGTATTTTTGGTTTGTTTGTCTTGTTTTTTGGCTTCTCACTTTCTGTGGGTCAGCGGCCCATGACACAAAAAAGTTTCCCCACCCCTGCTATAAACTTTTAGACATGAATGTGAACTATGGATTCAAATTTGGCATTACAGTGTCAAGAGCAGACCAACATACGTACAAAATTATACTGAAACATTGTGATGAAGTAGTTTTATAAAACAAAAATTCTATGTAACCTATAAAAACTACACACTAAGGGGAGATAGCAATATTTTAGCCTTCCAGACTTGTGAAATTTCCTTTTCTTCTATCGTTTTCCTTACCCAAAATTATGCACAATACTTACGCATTTTCTTTTTCACTATGCAAGAAAATATAGAAACGAAGGGGAAAAATCTGAAGTATTTTCTGCAGCAAACATTTTAGAGAAGTGTAATCAAACAAAGATTTGGCCAAAAGCTCCAACAGCACTTGACAATGCCACAAAAAAAAAACCTTATAACCAAGGGGTTCTCAAACTTCAATGCACTGTGACCCCTTTCTGGCAATAAAAATTACTACATGACCCCAGGAGAGGGAATCAAAGCATGAGCCCACTTAAGCCCCTCCACTCAGGGGGAGAAGGGGAGGGAAGGAGGGAGCAAAATCCAAAGGCTTCATTCCCAGGCAGGGAGCCTATAATCTGAGCCCTGCTGCCAGGGCTAAAACTCAGGCTTCTGCTTCAGCCCTGGGCTTACGGTTGCTAATACTCTAGGACTGACCTAGAGACTCCATGAATTAAAGATTAAATTTTTAATTTAAGATTATGTCATGTGATGAAACCTTCAAGAATACATCCAACAAAAATCAACTGTGTGTCTTAGGCTTCGATCCGGTGCACAGTGAGCTCATCAACCTCGACCACCACATTAAAATGGGCTGTGACCCACTTTGGGGTCTCAGCCCTGTCTGAGAACTGCTGCCTTGTTTTGCTCCCTATCACCACTCTCCCCCTTAAAAAGGGGAGGGGGGGGCTCTGCTTGGAATAATAAACAGGGTCTTCTACAGTTTTGCTTAAGAACCTCCTTAGGTATCTAAGAACATACATATTGGGTTTTCTTCAACCTTAATAGCTAGTATAGTGGTGCTCAATATTCAATTATGATATTCTTTCCCCAAAACATGTAATCACTGAGGGGTGAGCTTAAAAACAAACCAAAAAATCAATGCCTTGTCTATACATAATTACTACTATTAAAACTATTCTGGATATTCTCCATAATGCCAGCAAAAATATATCGGCATAAAGGCGGCTTGTATGTACAAACCTTATTCCTCTATCCAAAAAGGATAGCTATAACTCAATTACATTACAACTGTGTCTGCACTTAGTGTAGTGATTTACATACAAAGTCACCCCTCTCAACTGAAATATCAGTACAAGAATTGTGCACAGACCAGGCTTAAGAGTCTAAAATTGTCTAAAACACTCCCTCTTGTGATGTCATCATTTCACTAATGCATCTAACTTCAATACCTTCTAAGTGTAATGAAATACACAAACTCCATACTGGGCAAGAAGGGGTTAAAAACAGGACTGGCCCAGGTTTCCTTGCCCCTCCAGTCTTGCAAAGCACGCACCAACTAAAGAAAGGATTGAAAAGGAAACAATCCAGGCTCAAGAAAAAGGCAGACAGGCCTAACATGAAAGCTCCTAACAGGAGCTGGAAAAGCCTCCCAGTGAGAAGAAGACTGTGTGCAAAGCCCTGCTGGGGCTGATAGTTTAGTTGCTGTTTATACTTTTCACTTTATATTGCACTAGACGATGGGTTATGGGAGGAGAGAAAAGCAGATGGTAGGAAGTAACCCAGGGAAGGTAACTTGGAGGGCACCTTTATAGGCCACATGCTGTTAACCTTCAACGGTCCTTTGGTTGGAGTCCACACACAGTGGTCTCTATTACAGGGGGAATCCAAGCTACCTGCCCGCTTCACTGCACCTCTAACTAAAAGAAGGCCTAAACCGCAAGACCTGCCCACTAAGTGGTGATACTGGTGCACAAACCACAAGGCCACCTAATCCAGTTCACAGAAAGGGGTACTGCCCATTTTTTCTTTGCAGACTATCTTTAGGCCTATTCTAGAAAATTAGCTTTGGAAAAGATTCTTCTTCTTCCACTTACAGTGGTTTGTACCACTTTCATTTAAGTGATTTAAAACTAATTCCTTTAGTAAAACCATTGCAATTCTCAATGCAGACCTGGCCTTAACTACTTCCTGCATTTCTGTTCAAAAGGGAAATATCATTATCTGGCGTTAGAAAAAAATGTCAGTGTGTTTAGATGGTGGGACTATACAGAAGAGAATATGTCCTAAATGTACAAAATATTAATATCTAAAAACTTTCACTTAGTTAAAATTTTGAATCACTGACATGGAGAAGTAAGAGCACCATCAGTATATACAGTAGGCAAAATCATGGGGAACAAAATGAGACCATGCTTTTGATCACTTTGGTTCCTTTGCTACAGAAATAAGAGCATCCACAGGAAAGCAGAGCTAATAACCAGAAGATGAAGTCATTTCAATCTGGTCATTCTAGATAACACAGGAAAAGAACCAGATTTTAATCAAATAGAACTCTACTTACATTGTCCATGAAATTTGGCTTAAATCCGCCTTCCTGCTGTCGTCTCAGTTCTTCCTGTTCTCTCTGGCGTAGCATCTCTTCTTCACGACGTCGATGTTCTTCTTCGTGTCTAAAATTATTCATAAACTTGTATAAATTAGGTTCATGACCTCTTCATATACATTTCAACAGACTTTCAGGACTGAAATGAATGAATTTCAAGTTAATTTAAAAAACCCTTCTTATAGTGTGAATCATTATACAGCATCATAATGTTTAACTAGTCCTTCACTCCACTTTCTGGGCCTTGACATTCCACTTGAGCACTCTGCTGTACGTCTAGTATATAGCTATCAACCAGTGTGTTCTCTGCTTGCCATGGTTATGATAAACAGCATTAAACGGGTTAATGGTTAACCAATAATGCTTTTATCAAAACAATTATATTTTAAAAATAAAACCATATTTTATTATTTTATATTTCGTAAGTCTGGGTGTTTTTTTAAACATATCCCAAAAGAACATTGCCACGTGTTACTATCTTAAGAGTAGTCTCAGTTAAAATGTTTACTGAACTTAGTTAAAAAGCAGCAAAGAGGAGAAAGCATATAAACAGTACTATTATTTTCAATGTATTAGCTCCTAGAGGGCCAATCAGCATCATAGCATCATATGCACATAAATATCAATAGCCCCGCAATATGAATTTAGAGAAGATGCATCAAATAGGTTTGACAAGGAGAAGGGAGAAAAAGAATGAACAAGGAGGCAAAAAAAGTTCATTCAGTTAGCTGTTGCACAACTTCAGGCTCCTGGTGGCTTGAAGTGTTTTCATATTTATTTTTTTCCAATAAATAAAATCATTATCCATGCCTAAACACAAAACCAAATCATCCTTGGTTAACAATGGAAATCATATCAGAAGTGTGTCCTGAAGAGGGATTTACATGAAGATATAGTGGCTTTAAGGATTATTCAAGGAGAATGTTCTGGTCTGAGAGTGGTGAGGAAGGCATGGAGATTAGTGAGCTAGCACTTACAACTGCAGCCACACCAGGAGGGTTGAGAGCTGGAGGCTCAGGGCTTCACTAAGGCTCTGGACTTTGGCCAGAAATGAGGAGTTTAGGGTGCACGTGGGGGCTTCTGGCTGGTGCCAAGGGGTGTGAAATGTAGGAGCAAGCTCAGGACTGGGACGGGGGTTGAGGTCTGGGAAGAAGTTCAGGGTGCAGGCTCCAGGCAGGAGTTTGGGTATTGGAGGGGGTATCAAGCTGGGGTAGGGGTGAAGGAGGGTGTTCAGAGTCCAGGCTCCAGCTGGGGAACACTTACTTCAGGCAGCTCCAGGTAAGCAGCACACTGGTGCAAAGGTAGATTCCACACCTGTCCTGGCTCCAGGCTGCTCCCTGAAGCAGCCAGTGTGTCCAGCCTCTCTGTGGAAGAGCCAGGTGGCTCTGCATGGAGCATGCTGCCACACCTCATCAGCTGCAGTGCCCAGCCAAGAGGAGCTGGGTAGCACACAGATATTCCCTAATCACCCCTGAAACAAGGGACCACAGGGACAGAGTAGGGATATAAAATCTCATTTAACTGGCCAGGCTGCTCCCTGAAGCAGCCAGTGTGTCCAGCCTCTCTGTGGAAGAGCCAGGTGGCTCTGCATGGAGCATGCTGCCACACCTCATCAGCTGCAGTGCCCAGCCAAGAGGAGCTGGGTAGCACACAGATATTCCCTAATCACCCCTGAAACAAGGGACCACAGGGACAGAGTAGGGATATAAAATCTCATTTAACTGGTTAACCAGTTAAAGTCCCATGTACTTGGTTACCTGTCCCCCCCCCCCCCACTGCAAACAGGTTCTGCTTCAGCTTAGC